CGCTCTTCCTGGCAGCTACAGGGATTGTTGGGTTTATTACAAACACAAATTTCCATCTCATGGAATTACAATGATTAACAGGCATTCACCCGTTGCTTTGGACGCTGTGAGGTGATGCGGTGGTTAGAAGATATGTGGACTCTGTAAAGGAGCTTTTTTAATACTGATAGAAGAGTGAACATATTTGGCTACCAATGTGCAAGTACTGAAGGGGGACAGAACAACTCTGTAGTGGCAGAAATGTTTGCAGGGATGGTATTTCAGCATGAAAATAGAAGTGGATACCGAGAATGAGCCAGACCAGTGACTGAGTAAAATGCAGTTCAATGAAGAATGATCAGAAGAACTCCCAGAAATGAGAACAGAAGAAGAGATGAGAACAACAAAGAAAACAAGAACCCAGTAAAACATGAAGAGAAATAAAGGTATCAGTGAAAGAAGGGAAGAAGGTGGTCAGGAGGAAATGTCTGAAGGAAAATAATTATCACTGCACGTAGATTAGATATCAAAAGAAGGCTAAATGGCAGGAATGAGTGCAACAGCAAAATGCACCAGGTGATGACTCGAGGAGGAGCTCAGGAATAGAGAAAGCAAAGAGCAAAGGCACTCCTTGGCAAAGTACATGTCTAATGATAATCTCTTTTATCACGAGGGAAATTGAGCCAGGAGCGCAGGTTGGATGGAGAAATGAGACCAGGAAACTTTGGAAATAATATCAGCTGGGTCATCACCCGTCATCGTGGCCGAGCGTGGGTGTCGGCGGAGAGCGAGATGCTGCTTGAGGAGGATGTTTTGAAAAGCAATTTTGAAAAGTGGAGTGGAAACCATTAGACTTATTTGCCTTGAGCAGAAAGGGATTGAGTTAATGGAAAACACCATTTTATCTTTCTAAAGTAATGTGTTTGAGTGCCTGACCAGCTGAATGCCGTTACCGTGAATACAATGCAGACCTCTTTCTCAATCCAGTGGAAAAAACTTCTCACGTGCTACGTGTTTTCAAGAACAAGTGATAAGACATTCAGTGTAGAAAAAAATACATCTCAGATTCTTTTACTTATCATGGCTATTTTGTTTTCTCTAGAAAATACCAGCCTTTTTGCTCTCGTGACTGTTCTCTGTTGCCATGAGTGGGATCCAGGAGAACGTGCTGTTCAGAGGGAATTGCCTTCTGATCAGTGGGGAGTATCAAGCTTCACTGAGGCTAATGAGCATGTTATCTCTCTTCTGCTCAGTCTAAAGGTGGAGAAGCTGAACTTCTTTGTATTTAGCACTGAAGGAAAACGAGGGATACTGTTACCCTGTCGCATAGACCAAGCTTGTCAGAGCAGCGTAGAAAACAAATTGTAAAGAGGTTCCTTGCCATCTGAAAAGGCATGGGGCCTTGGTCTTTGGTTGTTCTAGGCATGTCTGTAGTTTGAGTCTTGTTTTCAGTGGCTAAGTTTACTAAAGCAGCTCCCATTCTTCCTTGTGCTGCTCGTTTCTCTCCCTTTCCTGTCTCTAAGAGGCCATGGGCAACTGAATCAGTGAGCTATTTGAGATTAAAATAGCCCTGCCAGAAGAACATTCACTGCTGAGGAAAATCTCAGAGGAATCCTGGTACCTGATCAGAAGGAGCCAAAAAAGACAGCGAAAGAAGCAAGAGAACCGGAGAGGATAGGGAGAGGCTTGGTAGCTTAGCTTAGAAAGGTCTGCAGATTTTTCAAAGTAAAACTGTTTTGAATGAGTCTTGGGTGGATAATGAAAAAAATAATGAAAAAAAAATTTTGTTTTTTACTGTATTTAGGGAAAAATTATTTTATTTTTATAATTTTTTTGTAAATTTTTTGTGTAATTTTTATTAACAAACCACATGGCATAAAAGAAGCAATCATAATTATACTCATTATCTCCTTTTAGCAAAAACAACTGGCAAAAGACCACATTATACTAACTATGGAGGCTAAAAAGAAGTAAGAGTAGTGACAAGCGTGTCTGAAATATTAGATCGAGGAGACAAAAATTAGCCTGTGCAGTCAACTGTTGCATTTTGTAAAGATGCTTGGACCTGGCTACAAAACAAGCTACTGTTTACACATGCAAGGCTTTTGATAAATAATTAAGGGAAGTTTCTGCAAACTAAGAGTATAATAAACCTGGCCTCATAAAGTCACTGCTGTAGTTACAACTGGATAAATAAAGAGTGCTTTAGCTCTGGCAGCTGTCAGGCCAGGACATCTCAGTATCATTATTTTTATGGAAATATTCACATAAGAGAAAGGAGGGATATTAGGTTATGGTCCTTTTCACAGAGAGAGAAGGAAATGTATATGCACAGCCAGGGGACCACATCCAAATTGAGAATCGAA